TCATGGTGCTAGTGTACAACCATCAGTTCCAGTTTAAGAATGCTCCTATGGTCCATGTGCTAAGGATACAGGTCCAGTGTGGTAGTACTCCAAACACAGCAGCCTGGTGAGCTCTGTATTTGGGACCCAGCATTCTCACACTAGATATTCCAGTTTTTAGTTTATAGTTACAGCTTGTTCTCCCTTATTGTGAAGATTCTGTAGGTCAGAGTGGCTGTTTGAAATCCCTCTCCTACCTTCAGTCCATTAGCCACTTGTCATTCTGATCTACCTTTCTTTTCTTCTCACCAACAATTAAAGTGTATTGTTCTCAGTGGGTGCATCTACAGAAGACATTTACGGTGGAGTAGACTAATTAGCTCTGCAGTAAATGTCTCATGTCTACACATGCAGCCCTATTAGGCCACAGGATACTAATTAACTCCACAGCAGAGTAATATTTGTAAATACAAGTACTATCTTGCAGTGGAGTTTTTTAGTGTGCCGCACTGTGTGTGTAGGTGCTGACGAAGCTGGCTAAGGCATGAAGGCACTTCTATGCAGGGACTGCCTGCTGGCTAGCACATTCTGCCCCTTTGCAGCATGTTGAACCGGGATGGAACAGCCCCTGCCAGCTGGGGCTACTCCAACCTAGCTCAGCATGCTGCAGTCCCAGGCACACGTTCAAGTGGCACGCTTGGGAGTAATTATTGCTGCAAATTAATTGCTTGTGTAGATGTGCCCAGCATGAGAGATGACTTCCTCTAAAGTAATTAACAGCAGTTGCTCCCCATTGCCATCAGTGCAAATCCAGATCACCTCCCAGGAGCGGGACTATTCTAGATTTATAACAGCATGGGATAGGATTTAGGGCTAGTTTGCTTATATAAAGACACCAATCACCACCTGGTGTTTCTCTCCCTTGTTCCATATCACTAAGCAAAATGCAGCACACCCACAATGCTCCTGTGGCAGACAACCCCATCAAAAACAGTAGATAGGCTTTACATTAGAGCCAGCACATGAAAGCTGTAGAAAATACAGGTGGAAGATTTAGTAAAGCAATCAACCACCTACCCCATCAGTCTCTGCAGCTTCAAATGGAAGGCTGCTATGCTTGTTGACAAGCACCAAAAACAAAGAGCTCTCCCAGCTAGTCAGGAGGAATATGTTGGGGAGAAGGGGGTTGGTTTTGTTTTTATATATTTAATTGTGAAAAATAACCAGGCTCTTAGCATTTCATGAATAATCTGCTCTTTGGAAGGGGAGGGAGGAGGAAGGGAAGGAGGGGATGCAGAATGAGTTCATAACAGACTAATAGGGCTCCAGTGAGAAGTATCAAATGTAACAAGCTATGATCCCAATCTGGGGTAATATCCTGTAGGTTTGTGCATACTTTGCAAACGGCAGCCTGTATGGTATTTAAAATCTTTTTAGACTCTGAATTCTAGTATGAGAGCAGCTCTAAATTCATTATGCTTTGGAAACCGATAAACAGTTCTTTGGACTTAACCTCTCTACCTAAGCCAGAAAACTCCTGCTTCAGCTGTTCCAGGAAGACAACTGTGAGAACGGTAGATGAAGCAGAAAGTAAAGACTCACCATACACATATCAGATGGTCAAGGGATTACAGTAAAAGCCAGCTCATGCTTGAGTGCATAGGAAAATACAGATTGGCTAAGCAGCTGACTTTCACTTGATGAAAGCTGAAATTTGTTTCAGTTTCTCTTCTCTTTACTGTAGCACAGATAGGCTCTGTTTAATGTGGGCTAAAGTGCAAAAATGCAAACCAGAGTATGGTTTTTCATAGATACGCACTGAGGGAATTGGTGGTTTTGTACCTTTGATTATATGAAGTGGGTTGCAGAGCTGTAGGTACCATCCAAAATGTTATGCCTATGCAGGGCAGCTGCCATCAGCTTGATTCACAAAGTACCGGGGGGGGAGGAGGGCCTGCAAAATAATGCTTCTTACAATATAATGGTGGAGCCTGCTGCCTGTGCTCTCCACAGGGCCAGACTCCACATTTGTGTACAGGACAAGTCAACACTGATGATTCAGTGAAAAGTAATGCTAAACAGAATCTCTCTCTTTATTTGAAAAAGGAGAGATCATAAGCAAAATCACATTTCAGTGCCAGTATGCTTGATCTTTCCTGACACAGAGCCCACACAAACTTCCAACACGAATCACTTTAAGAACAAGAAAAAACAAAAGTAAAGTCTCTGTGGAAGCACAATGTACTCTTGACTTGAGAGGGTCCTTTGTGGGTGTAGGGACTGGTGCTATGCCAATTGTTCTTTAGCACCTACAGTGTGGGTGGGTGAGATTACATGTTAGAGCAGGGGTGGGAAAAATGCAGCCCAGAGGCTGGATGTGGCCCACCAGACCATTCTATTTGGCCCATGGGGCCCCTAAAAAATGTACAAAATTAATATTTATCTGCCCTGGGCTGCCTGTCATGCGGCCCTCAATAGCTTGCCAAAACTCAGTAAGCAGCCCTCCACCTGAATTAGCAGATGCTAATTAGCAGGTGCTAATTCTAAGGAATGTTAGGTTGTGTGAAGGTTATAGACTCCCAGTGGGGATTTATAGACTCCCAGCAGGGGTGGTGCAGGTAACTACCCTGGAGATCTTCAAAAGGAGATGACGCACACCTTGCTGGGGTTATTTGACCTCAGCAGTCTTTCCTGCCCAGAACAGGGGTGCTGGACCTGATGATCTCACAAGGTCCCTTCACCCATAAACCTCTGTGAAACATCTATGAAACTAGTGCTAGTGATCAGTCACATGTTCAGAGTTAATAATTTCTGTAGTGTGTGTTGCTCAGACCTGCTGCTAGAAGGCTGGTGAGCAGGGGCATGGCTAGGGAATGCAAGTCTGCTCCATGCCTACTCTGCTTGATGGCTGTCTAGCTACAGTATAGGCCAGGATAGGGAGGAGGTGAGTGAAGGGGCCCCTGCTACCTTAAATTGTCCCCTTTGCCACCCAAATTACCTCACTGCCCCCCATCGGCCCCCAGAGCCCCCCTCCATCCTGCGATTTGCACCTCCACCCCTGAATCACTGCTCTGCCACCCCCAATCAGACCAAGAGCTGTAGCAGTGACAGTAGTGGGGGGGGTTCCCCTCCCTGCCTGCACCCAGGCTCCTTGCAGCCTGTGCCACCCCCACACACCTGGATTCAGCCCTCCCTGGGCCCGAAAATTTCCCAGCAGCTCCTTGCCCTTCCTCCTGCTTCCCTCCCCTTCAGTTTCAGGGCCCGATGGGTTCTGGATCTGGGTGTGCAGAGGCAGCATGGTCTGCAGGGGCCCCAGGAACAGACAGGAAGGTGAAAACCTGCCACCAATACCGCTGCCACTCTTGGGCTGATCAGGGTGGCAGGGCAGTGATCTGGGGGTGGGTGGCAGAGGGGGCAATTGAGCTGGCAGGAGAGTGGTCTGAGGGTGGAGAGGGCAAGGGGGGCAGCAATCTAGAAACTCCCCATCCACCTACCCACTCCCCTCTTCAATCTTACCTCTACACCACTTTTCCCTCCCTTCCCGCTCACCCTATCCCCACATACCTGTTACCCAGCTGTTCCCAAATGTCAGTCCAGGGCTGTAGAGTCCTGAATGATAGATAGTTCACCTAGGAGCAATGCCTCCTGGGATACTGGAGGACTGCAAGTTGGTGGTTTTATCTCAGGTGAGCACCCAGAAGTTAACTTTAGTTTAGCTAGCTAGCACAGCTCAAAGATAACCCTTGCCCAAAGTGGCATATCTTTAAGACACCAGAAGGGCACTTAGCACTTGTTGATGAGCGTCAATGTGTGATCATTTAAATTTTAAGTACTCTTAACATGGTCTAATTGTAATATATAATCTCACCCCTAGAGTGGGGAGGAGAAATGGCTGGATCCTCTGACTACCCGCAGTGGAGGATGGTCCCTTAGGTTGCATTGCCAGATGTTGCAAATTAGGACTGTCACCAGGCTCTTCTACCATGCACCTGGAGTCATAAGTGGCTCAATGATGTCCTGTGTGATTTGTTACTCAACAGAATCTGGCTCAGTGTGTGCCTCCTCTGTAACAGGATGCATCTCAGCCAAATTCAGCACCAAATATCTGATCCCAACAGACACCAGGTTCCTGGACATTTAAAAGCACAGCACACAAAAAACAAAGTCACGACAGCTAGATGAACCATAGAGGAGACTTTATGTTTCCCCATTAGCAGCTAATACTCATACAATCTATGTTAATGTTGAATCTTTAAACAAGCTATTGCAACATACCAAGGCAACTGCAAAATGGATGAAAACATGCTATTATTCTGGTCAGCTAATAGTGTTGTAGACTCACTTTGCCCTGGTGATAGTATAAATGCATTCACAAAGTGCAAGGTACTGGGGAGCCAGACTTCAGCCCTCCAAATCCAGGTGTATAGCAACCTTTGTAAAGCTAATCCAAGGCATTCTGGGAAAATGTAGTTATCTCCAAGCCCAGGGTTTTTTTGGGGAGTGAACTTATTGAACGTTGGTCTCGGTGGTTTGTCTAATTTTCTGCCTACCACATTCTGTCAAACAACATCTGCTTTTCTGGAAGAGACACTGCACAAAAGCCAGTTTTCCAGAGACATGTTACATCAAGTTTTGCCAGTGACTTCTGGCTCACCACTGGGTGCCAATTCAGGAGGTAAATCTTGAAGTAATACAGAAGGAACGTGCTGGTCCTACGTACACAATTTATTCATAGTCGATTCAGGCATTACAACACATTCCTTTGGTGGGATATAAAGTCTCCATCCAGCGACTTATATAGAGAGGACTAATGGTCTCTTCCTGAGAAGGACAAAAACTGTAGCCCAGCCAATAGACATATTTAGCCCAGAAATCTGTATGGAACTCAGTGTTTGCTTTTGTTTTGAAATACCTCTTTAAGCAAATGCTGTTAGTAAACCAGCTCAAGAGCAAAACCATTTAGCTATATATGTGGACACAGTACTATTATCTGTTTTGTAACTGCTTACCTACCTCTCCAAAACAAATTTCATATAATCCACTTGTCACAAATTAGCAATAGCATGTGAGGGTTAACAGAAACCGTACAGAAAACCATGTGTTCTGTGATGATAATGTTGAATTTGGGGTGGGGGAACTCTTCCTTGCTTTAGTCTCAACAGCTTCCTTGGGTTTCTGAAAATTTCTTCAGTCTATTCCCTGTTGTTGGTGCTTGAGGTAACTTTCAGTTTTGCTGGAAAGTTTGGTCCTGGAGAAATGGTTGTGTAGTAATTTTTGCATGCAGTAGGTGATTGTCCAGGCAACTGCTACCATGTATTGCTTTTATTTAGAGTCCCACAAAAAGTGACAAGGCCTTTGTATCCCAGCTCCACTTCTGAAAACAAGCCAGCTAGGAAGGAGATCCTTGAAAATACAATTGTTGGTGCACACTATGTTCTCAGGAGAACAATCTACCCAAACACATAATGTATGAAATACTCCCTCAAATAATCCCTTGACAACTATCAGCTACATTTAGTAATAGTATATGTCTCTGTAACTCTGAAAGACAATACATGGAAAGGCATGGGAAGCACTTAAGTGCAATACTGCTGACAAAAACAAAACGTGCAGTTTGTCTTGGAACTAAAGTGCTGTACTTCCCTAGGTAGGCCTCCAAGAGAGATCAGAAAAGTGCAAACTGAAAGCATGACAGATGAGTTTTTATAGGCTTTCTTCCCTGCTGCCTCTTGAACTGGTGACATTCATTGAGATTAAATCCTGTGTCTGAGTGTTCAACTCTCCTTTGAAAAAAAAAGAAAAAAAGAAACAGTATTATTTGGAAAGAAAACATAATTAAAAAAGCATTCTCCCCTCCAAGACCGAGATATTTATTCCTATTTAGATTTTGGATTCTTTACAGTGCAGTGGCATAACAAACTGAATGGGCACCCACCTACTGCAGGAGATCAGGGGTGGAGGGGTTAAGGGGTGGCAATGCAGTCCTGATAGTGGGGGGCTGCATAGCACAGGTTCTGAGAAAGAGGGAATATGGGGTAGGTCCAAGAGCAGGGGCAGGGGGAGCCTTGCACTGCCTGCCCAGCTGTGTTGCTCTTAATGCAACAGCAGCTGGATACTGTTTGGGAGTTCCCAGGCTAGCAATGGTTCAGGACACGGGTTGCGTGGGGGTGGGGCATGATTCAGGCACCTAACTTGGGTCCCCAGGCAGATGCCCTTCTTGCTCACCCCCAGTTACGCTACTGTTACAACATACTTCAATGTGAGTTTCAAAATGGGCTTCAGTATGAACATAAATGATACATAAGCATCTTTCTGATCCCTTCATAGTGACAGAGCAAAATAAAGAACTTTTAATGAAAGTGAAAGTCAGGCTCTTGGTATTAGTGTTGATAACTGTGGATCACATTGAAAATTCCACCTCACATTAGCAAGCAGTTACTTCGACAAGTAATCTCACTAGATTTCATAGATTTCATAGACTCTAGGGCTGGAAGGGACCCTGGAGGATCATCGAGTCCAGCCTCCTGCCTAAAAGGGCAGGAAGTCAGCAGGGGTCATAGGATCCCAGCAAGGTAGACATCCAAATGTCTCTTGAAGGCGTTCAAAGTAGGTGCTTGAACCACCTCCAGCGGCAGTCTATTCCAAACCTTGTGGGCTTGAACAGTAAAGAAGTTCTTCCTTATGTCCAGCCTGAAATAGTCATGGAGGAGTTTGTGACTGTTTGACCTTGTCATCTCTTGGGGTGCTCTGGTGAACAAATGTTCCCCCAGATCCTGGTGAGCACCCCTGATAAACTTGTAGGTGGCCATCAGATCACCCCTGAGCCTGCACTTTTCCAGGATGAAGAGTCCCATAGCTCTCAGCCTCTCATCATAAGGTCTGTTTTCCTGACCTCTGATCATGTGCGTGGCTCTCCTCTGGACTCTCTCAAGCTTCTCCATATCCTTTTTAAATTGTGGAGCCCAAAACTGGATGCAGTATTCCAGCTGCGGCCTCACAAAGGCCAAGTACAAGGGGAGAATGACGTCCCGGGATTTGCTTGAGAAGCATCTGTGGATGCAAGCCACTGTTTTGCTTGCTTTACTAGCCGCAGCATCACATTGAAGGCTCATGTTCATCTTGTGGTCAATCATGACCCCCAAGTCCCTTTCGTCTGTAGTGCTAACCAGCGTAGCACTGCTGAGCCTATAAGCATGCTGCAGGTTTTTCCTCCCAAGGTGGAGAACCTTACATTTTTCAGTGTTACACACCATCAGGTTCTTGTCCACCCATTTCCTGAGCCTGTCTAGGTGGCCCTTAATTATTTAGATGTTATTTTTAAACATGCTATAATAAATTTAATTTACTTGTTGCCACATATGTGTGACTGTGTCCTTACATACATATGTCAGAAGTAGTGTGCTAACTTCAGCAGAGCAGCTTGTCTGCTACATCACAACTGCTTTGAGCACAATCGTTATGAAAAATCTCTTTTCCTTCTTTCATAGCTTGGACCTAGAAAGTCACTTTGGTCTGCAAAGTGTCATTCACACTAATGATGCTGCACAAATAGCAATGATTTAACTGTGCTGAAGTTACTGAAACGCTGCTTACCAGGAACCAATATATCAAATAGGTAGTGCATAATCTATATTTCATACTATACAGCGCTAAATACAGAATAACATATTTTAACTTACTGCTTATAGGCAGTGTAGGGCATGGCAGCAAACCATCTAGGGCTTCCCACTATTGTTCCAAAGACATGAATTTAAGCTGTGCTCTGCAATCAGGCCAAAGACTACCTCTAATTAAATGGCACCTAGTCATTCAGGTTGTGGAGGTAAAGATGCAATGTTAGCTACATCACTCCCCTATGTGCTGTTGACTACAGAAACTGGGCGTGCCTCAATTGTGCTAGTCCTATAGAACAGGGGTCAGCACCCTACAGCCTGTGGGCTAGATTTAGCCTGTGGAGCCACTGGATCTGGTCTGCAGAACTGGAGTTTCAGTTGCGTTCAGTGGAAGAGGATTCACCTGTGCCACATCACATTTAGGCCAGGTCCTAATGCTGGCCAACCTAGAAACTAAGATAGGCCATTCTGGCCCAAAACATTTATGACTGCTGCTATAGACCATTAGGATGGGAGAACTTGGACCTTTCTGTACTTATAGCCAGCTGTGGGAGACTTTCAAAATGACCCAGTAGAGGTGAACAACAAAAATGCTAAAGTTTACCCAAATGAAATCCAAGAAGAGTACTTTTGAACACAATTTATACATTGCATAACTGTTTGAAGAAGTATGGTCTAAATAATTCAGTAAAATATTCTAAATCCTTATTGCTGATGCAGTTCTAGTTGTACAGTTCAGAACTTAGAACATGGACAACCATTGTTCCTCAAACTAACATGCTACAGATCACTTCCAAGGCATTATCAGGCATATCAGCAGCGTTTATACTTCAAATACATACTCATCATGGAAAAAAGGTTCTTTCCAGTGTTTCTTAAAACACTTGATGCTGAGAAACATAGATAGTGATCATATGATTTACTGCACACTGCAAAAGATGTTTGGTCATTAAAATGAGGAAGTAGAAAAAAACCACAGAGCAGCTAACATAGCAGTGAATTGTTACCTTCCTTTTCAAACTCTTCATTTTAGTGTGCTTTAGAGTAATATCTAACATACTTATTGAAGTATGTGACAGGGACCAGTCAAAAAATTCTACAGCTATGTGCCAGAAAATCATGAGAAGCCACGCTATACATATGCTTAAACAATATGCATTAGGCTTATGCCTGGGCATGTATTAAAGAGCTCTGCTCCAGGTCTTAGCTTGCCTGAAGGCTTTAGTTTAGCAGTTCTGTTCTCCTTTGCATTGGGAACAATTCCACTGGCATTTTTATAGTGTTTGAGAGAGAAGAAATTGGCTTCTTCTACTTAAGCTTTACCATTGAAAATGTTTAATTAGGACAGCACAAATGTTTTGTTTTGTTTTGGTTTGGTTTGGTTTGGTTTGCATATAGTCCCAATTAATATTAGTGTATTGCCATTCAGGTTGTAGTATTAGTGTCTTTGTGTCTTCAATATGCCAACTGCACCATCCTTGAGCACAATGAGGAAAATCTCCAGACAGTTGGATCGTTTTGTAGAAGCCTGCTG